ATACGGTCCACTGATGGGTGTGCCCATCCTCTTCTCTCTTCTTCCCAAAATATCGAGCAACATTACCATAAACTATTGGTTTAACAATAGTAACCCCCTGAAAGAAAAATAGTTTAAAAACCAATAAATATTGTACCATTAACTAAATATATAGACCTCCAAAGCTTGTTTTAAGAAATGGTAGTCTTTTTTTTTTTTTTTTTGGTACTGGGAATCAAACTCAGGACCTTGTGCTTCCCTGGCAGGTGCTGTGCCACTGAGCTATATCACTGGCCCAGAAATGGTAGTCTTTAGGTGGCTCCTAGGTCCCGGGGTATGATTCTCACTTTGGGTATGAAAGAAATGGCAGTCTCATAACGTGATTTATAAGGACAGTTTTCTTAATTAAACAGGTTGAAACATGAATTTTTCTCAAGTCAATTTGCAACATTTTCATTCACATTAACACAAATAACAACACCAGATTAATGACAACATTTGCTCTTTGACAATGTTTTTATTTAAATTACTACGTAAAGCATTTGAGAGCTTAGCTTAAAGATATGAAAAAGTCCTTTATTTGAAACTGAAAACTAGGTATTTAGATAAAAATTGCATTTTGCTACTTAGGCATTTACTTTAATCCACATTAAAAAAGAAAACTACAACTAGAAATGCAAACCCACAATTTCTTGCTTAGGAAGAGGTTTCTAAAAGTTCAACTGATTTAAATATAAATGTTACAATATATATTACAATTGGATTCATATATGACAAAATGGTAAAGTGGCACCTGGATAACTAAAATTTGGTAAATACTGGCTAGTGTCATGTTTGCTACCTTTGTGCTCAGTTTTTCAACGTACATTCATGTTTCTAATCACACCTGATTGAGTGCTGCTAAAACTATGGAAAGGAATAGAGAGATTAAACATTTGAAGTGACGAGAAAAAGTGTCGTATATGAATGTTAGACCAACTGTCCAATAGCAAAATGTATCTGAAGGACAAAAACCAAGATATACCATATGTGAAAAGTGCTGTGCCCTTTTGGCCAGAACTGCCATCTTTCAGTAATTTGCCAAAATGACAAATACAAAGGGAAAGATGAGAGGAAACTGGTATGTGTTCTATAGGCCTTTTAGAAAACATTGGGTTGTTCCTCTGACCACGTAAATGTGAATCTACAAACTGTAGATATTGTAGACATCAAGAGAATGGGTACTGTTCAAAAAGGCAGGCCACACCAATGTTACTGTGATAAAACTTGAAGAGTCTACAGTGTTATCCTGCGTGCTGTTGGCACTGGAACAAGCAAGTTACAGTGTTAAAGGCAAGACACTTGCCAAGAGAATTAATGTGTGTATGGAGCTTATTAAACACTCTAAGAATTGAGATAGCTTCCTGAAATGCACCCAAGAAAATGGCCAAAAAAATAAGGCAGCCAAAGAGAAGGGTACCTAGGTTGAACTGAGGTGTCAGCCTGCCCCACCAGAGAAGCACATTTAGTGAGAACCAATTGGAAGGAGCCTGAATTGCTGGAAGCTGTTCTTCATGAATTCATGGCATAAGCTGGGGATGTAGCTCTGCCATTCAGCACCTATTAAGTGGCTAAGTGATCCAGGCTCTGTGTAAAAGTAAAAATACATACTGAATTATAAGGATCGTTTTCTTAATTGAACAGGTGTGTGGTGCCCTTACCTCAGAGAAAGAAACACGTGGAGCAGATTCTCATTGTACCTAGTTAGTTCTGGCAGGTCTTTATTCTTCAGTATTTTCTTGGTAAATATGTGAGGTACTGCACAGGTATGTACCCAAATGGCCAAACAGTTATGACATATTTATATTGGCCTGAAGAGCCTCTAAATCACCATGGGAAAAAGATGTATCAAAATAAATGGAATAAACGTGAATAAACTGTTGAAAGCACCCCCCCAAAACAAGTGTTCTGCCAATGTAATCAACACTAACCAATAAGAAATAAGGAAAAGGAGTGAAAGTAACTGAAAAATTTTAAATTGCGGCTGGGCAGTTAACTAAATCCCACCCTATAACCTAACATTAGTTCAGAAGAAGGCAGTTTAACAACTGCAGTAGCAACATGAAGGGCTACTAATGACCCTTTTGTGACCATAGAGGCCTCCGGCTTAAGCCTGAGTACAAGGGCACTGATCCTTTAAGTGTACAGCAGATCTCGTTCTGCTAGAGTTGCCAGACACCTGCAGAATTCATCAGTGATGAAAAACAGCTCATTAGTCCTGAGGAGCAAAGGTAATCAGCAAGGAGAAATAAATCTCTAACTTTGAAACTTTACATGATTGTTTTTGGTGGCAAATCATTTGAGGAATGCAGGTTTAATTTCCTCAAGCAGATTGGACTGAAACTTACCTATTTTTAGAACCTAACATGGTACAAGTAAAGTGCTGTAACTTCTTCCCCAAAATCTAATGTTTTACTCTTTTTTTGTCTGTTTTTGAGATAGGGTTTCACTATATAGTTCAGACTGGCCTTGAACTCACTAAATAGCCCAGGTTGGCCTTGAACTCTTAGCAATCCTCCTGCCTCAGCCTCCCTGGTGCTGGGATTACAGGTGTGCAGCACTACATGAGGCTACTCTTTATTTCTATACAGTAGTAGTTTTTTATCAGTCCAAAATCTTCCCTAAAAGCTTGGGCAAAATGAACTTTTGCCTGGCATCACTTTCCCATCCTATTAAATTTCAGTAGCTTTTGGAACTTTTGAAAAATTCTCATTCTATATGTGATAGCAGAAACAGTGATAGTTTGTATACACATTATAATAAAAAATAACGTAAAAATGATACAGATAAGCACTCTAAAAATCTACTTAACGATTAAGTACTGTTGCAAAAGTGGGTGCTTTTGGAGAAAAACTGCCTTTCAGCAATACGTTAAAGAATCAGAAGGGATACATACAGGTGTTGCATCAAGTACTTGTTGGTCCTGCCTTAAATACAGCATGAACATGCAGGGGAGGTACAACGGTGGGAGGGAGACCCGTGTCACAGTCAAATATTATGTTAGACTCCACAAAAACTTTCATTAAAGGTTGGGAGCCGCGGAAGCTGGAAAGTAAATTACATGTGCAGGACGACGCCAGCCTGAGAACACGGGAGCTCCTCGAAACACGTACACAAGCCGTTGTAGCTTGTTAACTGACTGCTGGACAGCGAGGCTGAAAGCAATCAACCTCTTGTATAAATAAACGCTCTACTGTTCTTGGGCGGGTTCCCCGTCTGTGCTGAGAGAGGACCTGCACCTGATCCCGCTTTTTGGCTCTTGTCTATTTTTTCCTCATACTTGCCGCTATTCCTTCCCGGGGTACAGCAAGAACCCAACGGACCCCTACAATTAAAAGAAACTGACGTTCCCGAAATGTTACCGAGGTGCCAGGCCTGTATTGTGTTCTCTGCGTGACTTCAGTATTAGCGTAGCCACAACCTCGGGGCTTTGTGAACGCCAGAACTCGGAAACTCTACGCCCAGGTCCCCCGGACCCCGTGTGTGCAGATACTACGGAGATCCTCCCAAACCGGCGCCTGTGAATTCCCCGGGAGAGAGCTCCCGGGCCACTCGCTGCTACTTTCCTCCCCAGCAGGAGTGATGTTTCCAGTTCACCGAGGACCCGGCGGGACCCCCGCGCAGGGAGCGGGGCGGGCGGGGCGCGAGGCCGGGGGCCGGGCCAA